GAGAAAAAGACGAGTTTCCCGCTCCGGCCCGAACGACGGCCCGTGGATAGTTAAATTCGTTTTCGTTTCGTTCCGTATTTCCTTCCGTTTCGTTCATTTTTTCCCTCCGATTCCGGGATCGCGGCCGGGTTTTCGAGCTCCCGTTAAATGGTGACAAGCCTGCCGACCGCGAGTCGATCGGACATTTTATCACACGCGTTTCGACACGGATCCAATTTTATCCCGAAACTCTTTCCACTCTTTCTTTTATCGCGAATATATTATCGCGAAAAGTCCAGAAAACGAGCCAAACAATATACACGTGTAGTTGGAAAAAATCGCACGTTCGAAGCTAATGACAATTATTATATACGCGAGAATAGCACGTGAGAAAGCACGATCCCGAATTAATTAAATCGAACGCATTGTCCCCGCGGGCCATTTACCCGAGAGTGTCTATGAAGCAGCTCCGCGCCTCGAAGGGAGTCATTACGAAAATTGATACGGATCTGTGGGAAAGCGGCGGTAACCGGTTCATCGAGCGAAGTCTGATTAAACAGAGGATGTCAAGGAATAGGAGGAGGAAGGGACGATAGGGTTCTGAAAGTTGGAGAACAAGTTGGAGAACCGAAAAGATATCGAGAAAGGAATTCGAGATTGGCGCCGACCACCACTGACCACCTTCAACAGCACTTTTCGCAGTTTGCCCGAAAAAGGAGGACACCTTGCAACACCTTGCCCTCCCCTGTTTCCGCACCATGGTTCATCAAAGGGAGGAGGAGAGGATAAAACGGAGCGGCCAACTAATCAGACTCGGGTCAATCCACTCCGAGCCGTTTCCCCGGAGAAGAGGATGTTTCCTCTCGGCGGACAGGATAATTTAAACTTTCCTCGGCAACCACGATGCGCACGTATGTGTCCACCGCTGTATCTCGATCACTCCGCTAAACAGAATTAGATACGAGCGTCAAATTCAAACGTTAACCACTACAAAACTCGCGGATGTAACGGACCAGCGACCCTTGGCTACGTTTTCGTTCCGTTTCTCCGCGCCGCGTCGTTAACATTTCGAACCGAAAATTATTCGCCATCCGAGTTGGAGTTCGCGCGAATGTACGGAACGATGCGACCCCGAACGAGAGAAAAAACCGACTACGTATAACTAAGTACGTATAACCCGAGAACGCGCGAGAAGATAATTTAAACTTTCGTTTCGAATATCATTCGAGTTTAATTACCGGCTGGATGTCACGAGCGGATTAGCTTCGCCGTGCCGTGTCTTATACACTCGTGTGTATAGACGCGGAGGGAAAGGGAGAATACACTCCCGGGATCTGTTTCGAACTGAAATCAGGGCTTATTGTGCTACAAATGAGGACACCGACGCTTGAATTCCGTTGTTGATGTTACCCATTCTTTCGAAAATATATACGTGTATATAAATATACGTTCGGTCACGGAAATAACGTGCGTCTTCATGTATGCGGTATCCAACAAGGAGATTCATCTGGCTCGAAAATTCTGATTTTAATGAAATTTCCATCCGTTGTTTCGTCTTTTCAAATACGAAACGTGACGACGGTGAAGACAGGGTTATCTTAGTCACGTCTCATTAACGTAAACTCGAATCGTTCGAACGTATTATGCACGATGTATCAATGTCTCGATATCGATCTTTCGAAGTGTTTCTCGGGATGTAAATTTTCATCGAAGCAGCCGACGTATCCACGGTCTCGATCGAACTTTCCTTCCCGTTAAATCTGTTCCACTAACCCACGTCGTTCCACGTCCACAAATCCTCTCCAAGCCCACTTCGAATGTTCAATTAAGGTGATTCTCCGGTATTACGGAGAATCGAATTCGATTAAAATTAAAATTCGTTAAAATTCTAACGAATTTTCGGTTGTAACCCGGCTTTCGATACGCTCTCCGTGAAACGGAAGCGGAAAAATTCACACAGATCGCGGAAAAAACCGAGGCAATTTAACTTTGAGAAAGCGTGTTCCGCGCGTCGGCTGTGAATGCGACCAAGGCTTTTGACGAAAGCAAGCGTCGTATCGATATGGTCAGGAGGAAAGGACTTTACTGCTTCCTAACGGAATACATTACTCCTTAATCCGTTTCTGGCGCTCGGATAAAACGGATAGGAAACGAATTCGGTGGCAGCTTTTAACGCTGATCCAAAAACATTTCGATTTATAGAGCGAGAAAACGAGTGTGTTTTCGAGTTTTCCGCCTCTTGAGAAAAACTTTCCACGCTCGTATGTAAAGCAACATTTTCACGAGCGACGTCATCGATTGCTTCAATCGATCGAACTTCATCGTACGATTAAACGAGGTGAAACGTCGTTTTATAATTTCCATCGGGGGAAAGCGAGCTTCGAACGGTCTCTCTTTTTCGATTCGAAAAATTCTTCTTCGATGAAACTGGATCCCCCTGTAACGAGTTTAACGCGGAAAAAAGTACACGATCCACATATATATGTATATATAAAACTAACAATGGCCCGTAAAAGAACGTAACGCTCGAAACACGTTCCCGCACAACACGTGTACCGCGCGCGAACACGGGGGTGGTTTTTCCGAGAGGGAAGAAAAAAATCATTCGTCTTCCTTTTATTCCGGTATTCGTAGGATAGTTTTCGCGCAATAGAGCCGCCAGTAACCGAAATTCCACGCTTACTGCGCCACGACCTCTCCGCGAATGTACGATACGATAATAATAACATGGGCCGCGTACGACACGGTGTTTACGTTTACGCGTTGCCTCGAATCGATGGAAAAGGCAATGTGGCGCGGAAACGAGAATTTTCAAATTTAGGAAATCGTAAACCACGGAAATTTCGTTATCCATACGGGGTTATCGCGTGGGCGCGTTTAAAAGTATCGGGCGGAAGGGGGAGGAAGGGAAACGAGTCAACGATTTATGAGGCTGACAGTCGCGCTTTAACATCTTTATTTCACTGCCATTCCCCGGTTGCCGAATATTTATCGGCGGTCCGTCCATTTTTCCGTGTCTCGCGCAGCTACAAAATGCCCTCGTTAATCGAGAGGCTTACGTCAATTACGCTAATGAGCGGCCCGGAACGAGCGCGGACGGCCAACTTACCATTATTCGGAAAATTAACGCTTAAACCGGGCCCCCTCCTCCCCCTCCCGACGCGCTATGAATCCGTTTAAAGGCACGCTCCGCTTCAATTTTCCGTTTCGAATTCAACTTTGATTACTCGTTTACGCCGAATCGAATTATCCCCTCGTTCACCCTTCCCTCCCTTCCTTTCCCCGCTCTACCTACCATCTACCGAAAACGCGTTTCGAATTATTACGTTTTTACGATGCGAGTTTTTGCGAATTTTTGCCTAAAACTCGTCGATAAAATTTCTAATAACTAAGGAAATTTGATATTTGGATGATATGGATAAATCAACTCACCTCCGCTTCTTGGCGTGTCGGTAGGACCGGACCGTTGTCGCAACCCTGAAACAAAAAGAAAGAAAAATTACATGCTTGTTTTATCAGTTTCTGAGAGAAAACTGATCGCGAACGAGTGAAACGGTGGGAGGGAGAGATTAAATTATTCTCCACGCGAGTGGATCCAGAAACGAAAAGATCCACCGAGATCTCTCGATTTCTAACGGTGGAGCGCGCGCCCTCCTTCCTTTCTTCTCCACCCCGTAACATAATAGGTAAATTAATTTTCAGAAATATTCGAAAATTACAGCGAAACTTGGCCGACCGTGGCGAACACTCGAGTAAAATGTACTCGATCGATCCTCGTCCGTAAGCTGATGCGCTCTCGCATTTTAATGAGTCTCATTTTTTTAATAATTAACGACTGTTCCGGCGGGAACCGGATCGCTTTTTCACATCTTCGCTAGAATTAAAATTCCCTCGAATTGAAAAATGGAACGACGATGGAACAAGGATGAATCTTCGAATTACGAGAATTCCTCTCTCTCTTTCTTTCTCTTCCTCCTTCGTTGAAAAAGAATAAGGGAAAAAAATAACTTTTCACGCGATAATAGATCTACTTCCGAAATCACTGAAACAAGAGAACAGATTTATATAGAACCGGGAAAAACCAAAGCGTGCATTCGTTCCAACTTTATCGCAACTGATCGCTATTTTCGAATCGACTTCGAATTTTTTATTTTGACAGTCCGATGAAAGGAAGAATATACGATAGAAATGAATGGAAGATACGTATTTCATTCTTCCAAGAAGTAAGACGGATATCTTTTAATATCAGGCTTAGAAAGGTATTCGTCGATAATTAAATTCGCTTAAACATCGATCAAGATAACGACTCCGAGTTATCCGAGAGACGAAAGATTTTTATCTATCGATTGCCTGGCATCGATAACAATAAGAAATAAGAAACGATAGAAAACTATATTTTAACGACATTTCGAAATGCACGTCAAATGCACGAAATATCTGTCGCGTAACAAGCGAAATCCAGGTTGCAAACTCGCCAGAAGAAAATCGTAAAGAATTCGGGTTTCGAAGGGGAGAGTGGAAGTGGCGCAAGGTGTTCCAGCTGACTTTTCTCACTGGAATTCTCCGTGTTTCTCGTTCGTCGAACATAAACGGCAAAGTTAACGTACTTACAGTTCCCTATCGGATCCAGATCCCCATCATGTGCGCCGGTTTTATATCACCATCCCGGCCACCCTCTCTCCACGGCCCACCCTCTCACCACCACGACCTTCGCCTGTATAAGCGGCACGTAACTTTCGCATTCAAACTTTATCCCCACGCTACTTTTTGAGCACAACGTCAACTTCGCTGTTCCAACAAACTCGCTGAATTACAAATCGAACGTGGCACCACGCTGTGCTACGAAAGGGGATAAAAGTGACGCGGCGTTCCAACGAACGATGAAACGGGAGAAAAAAGAAGAAGAAGAAGAAGAAGTTAAAAGATGGATGGATGGATGAGAAGAAAGAAAGAAAGAGAGGAAAAAGGAATGAGACAAGAGAGAAAAAAAAAAGAGAAGAAGGATACGAGAAACGAGTAGGATAGAAGAAGGTTGGAAAGGAGAAGCAGAAACGAGGGGTATTTCAATCTCGTTCGTTGGCTGTAAGGCACCCGACGCATCGAGTTCGAAAACTTTCGCTTCTCGTCTGGCTGACTGAGTTTTTCCAAGTGGTATAGAAACCGGATCCTAGTTCAGGGATCGTGCACACATTTTCACCGGTTCACCTACACGCGCGCACACCCCTATACCCCTCCCC